ACGCGTTTTATTTCCTGGTATACGCTAAGTTGAAGTTAATTCTGGTGGCAGCGTTAGTCAGTGGCCCGTCACAACCCCACTGCGTCATACCTCTGCGTTAACTCGAACTCTTTCGACGGCTCCGCCCGCTAATGCACTCGCAAATGGTGACATTCGACAACAAACGGCTCTTTCTCATGATAGCACCATCAAAAATTGGGCTGGTAAACTCGATGCAGTTGCTCTTAACAATAGGCAGCTAGACGAGTATCTTGAGCATTTCGACTGGAAGGACATTGGAGAGTACGGAGATGAAGCCACAGCTGAAATGTGGGAAAGTATTTTGAATACACCAAGAATCTCCACTTCTTCTAGTAGCATTGTAAATGCTGACCCCAGTACTGAAAGAACCGGTGTGGATGAAAATGCCAGGAATGAAAACGAAGATACCGCCACGCCATTTACAACGACAAGGATCGGATCACATGCAGATCCAATTCCAGCGCCAAGCCGACAGCCTTACCCCCAGAACAATGACACAAAGTTTCTCCAAGAGAAGAGGCTGTCCGGAATTCGGTCCCGAAAGACAAGCCTAGCGTCGCTCGTAGTTGACAACTGAATGCAGAAAATCAAAGTTGTAGATCGTGTGTAAGTTGCCAGTTATCGTGGTGGTGTATCCTCAATACAGCCATTGTCAATGTGTTTGGTAGCCGTCTTGAAGCGTGGGTCTCGCAATGTGTCCATAACCACAAGAGGTCGTTGGTCTCGCACAGAGTATTCGCAGAAGCCGAAGTCCCGAGGCACTTCTGACTCCTTCACGTTCACAGCACTCTTGAACCACTGACGGTTCTCATCCACCAGGCTCACAACAGCGTATTTGCACGCCAATGTCTGAGCTGCCAAGTCGCACAATGTATCGTAGATGTCCACTTGCTCCCCGATGCTCCCTCCCACATCCTTCTGCCGGGAATCCAGACGTAGTCGATCCATTAGTGCATTGACCATCGTCTTGCTCTCGTCATCTCTAGCTGCCAGTTGCTGCAACCAGTCAATGCCCACAAGATCTGGAACAGTCGACACTTGAGCACCTGGAACAGCTAGCGCGTACTCTTTCACTGCATCTCTGAGTACACTATTATCCACACCTTCAGGCAAGTTAATTGTGTCAGCAGTAGCTCCATTTGCTGCTGCATCACCGCAGCAGCAGCCTTGAGGTTCGCCTCGTCTCGAGCGTGGTGGTGTGGCATGCAAGCCGGACTCGATCTGCGCGACCCTGTCCGCAGCAAGAACGGCCAGATATTACCAGTCATCGGAAACAGGACGACTGTCAAACATCCACACCGGTATCATGGACACAGATACACACTAAGAGGCATGGGAGGGATCAAAGACGCTCGTCACGCATATCAAGAGCGGACGTGCGCGCGAGGCCTAAATAGCATAAGCAGTCGCCCAGCCGTGGGCCTCGAACCCACGACCACAAGATGAAGAGTCTTGCGCTCTACAGACTGAGCTAGACGGGCTTCATACTCGCACACAAACCCAAAACATACAAAATCAAACAAACCGACGCGCTCGCTACCACCCACTCGTCCCAGCGATCGCACACAGCCCACATAGGCCCCACCCCGATCCGCGATCGACAGAAGAAGCACTGGTCGGACATCTCGATTCAACGAGTCGTGATCGGCCCAGCCACCCTGTCTCTTCGCACCAACTCCGTCTTGCTCACACGGCTTCACTTCACGCTGTCCGAGGTCCTTGATGGACCCGTCCACATGTCGAGTCCGAGCGGCGTGGTTGTGTGGCATGCAAGCCGGACTCGATCTGCGCGACCCTGTCCGCAGCAAGAACGGTCAGATATTACCAGTCATCGGAAACAGGACGACTGTCAAACATCCACACCGGTATCATGGACACAGATACACACTAAGAGGCGGGGGAGGGATCAGAGACGATCGTCACGCATATCAAGAGCGGACGTGCGCGCGAGGCCAAAATAGCAAAAGCAGTCGCCCACCGTGGGGCTCGAGCCCACGACCACAAGACTAAGAGTCTTGCGCTCTACCGACTGAGCTAGACGGGCTTCATACTCGCACACAAACCCAAAACATACAAAATCAAACAAACCGACGCGCTCGCTACCATCCACTCGTCTCAGCGATCGCACACAGCCTACACAGGCCTCACCCCGATCCGCGATCGACAGAAGAAGCACTGGTCGGACATCTCGATTCAACGATTTCGTGATCCGCCCCAGCCACCCTGTCTCTTCGCACCAACTCCGTCTTGCTCACACGGCTTTCACTTCACGCTGTTCCGAGGGTCCTTGATGGACCCGTCCACATATCGAGTCCGAGCGGCGTGGTGGTGTGGCATGCAAAGCCGGACTCGATCTGCGCGACCCTGTCCGCAGCAGAACGGTCAGATTTTTACCAGTTCATCCGGAAACAGGACGACTGTCAAACATCCACACCGGTATCATGGAGTCAGATACACACTGGGAGGCATGGGAGGGATCAGAGACGATCGTCACGCATATCAAGAGCGGACGTGCGCGCGAGGCCAAAATAGCAAAAGCAGTCGCCCACCGTGGGGCTCGAACCCACGACCACAAGATTAAGAGTCTTGCGCTCTACCGACTGAGCTAGACGGGCTTCATACTCGCACACAAACCCAAACACAAACAAAGTCAAACAACCGACGCGCTCGCTACCACCCACTCTTCCCAGCGATCGCACACAGCCCACACAGCCCCACCAC